TTTAACATGCAGGGGAGCTACATCTGTACCATGAGATCAGGAAAAACACGCTCCTGAGAGCTAGTCCGAAAACAACCTGGTTTGATCAAAAAAGAACCCCGATAAGGTGCGGCAAGAACCAAGACAAGCGCTTAGAAAGAACCCGGATCGATCAGAAAACAACCCCAAAGAGGTGCTGCAAGTACCAAGACAAATTCAGAAAGAACCCGAATTGATCAGAAAACAATGCGGATGAGGTACATACAAGTTTAGAAAAAATCTAGACGAAGTGCAAACAATCTGGAAGAGGTACATCAAGAACCAGAGGTCTAGAAACAACCCGGATGAATCAAAAACAACCTGGAAGAACATCATGGCTTAGTCAAACGCTAAGCTCGGTAGCTCAGCATACGCTTCAACTACACCCGGGGGCTCGAATTCAAGGGCGAAAGACCAAGAGTACAAGTACTCAAGACTACAACAAACGACAACACATCAAAACCCTTCATCCAATTTCTTTTTGAAAGAAAAGAACTCGGAGAAGGCTCAGGGGCTGCGGGATACATAACCCTAGAAATTTTTAAGACAAGAATCTGGACCCTCCAACTTTTGCAAGCAAAAGCAAGAGGCTCGGGGGCTACACTCAGTGAGTGCAATTTTTACGAAAAATTGCACTCACCGAAAAAGAACTCGGAGCAACCAAGAAGACTAAAGGGACCCTCTGGCTTCTTGTCCCAACAAGCAAGAGGCTCGCGGGCTACACTCACTGAGTGCACTTTTGTCCAAAAGTGCACATCAGCCGAAGAAAAGACAAAAAGATCATCTCAAGATCTCGCTTCAAGAAAGAACCCGGAACAAGTCTACAACAACCCGGCCCTTGAAGCTCAATCATGAAATGCTCGGGGGCTTGTCGATGCAGGACCCATAGGGTTCCCCACAGAGAAGAGAGAAGAAAACATAGTCCAAATAGGATTCTCTACATGTAATCCCACTAGGACTAGTTACATATAATCCTACTAGGATCTCTACTTTGTAACCGACTAGGACTCCCGCCTCTCCTGGACTATATAAAGGAGGATAGGGGTCCCTAGATCGGCACCTACACAAGAACACACCATACAACACACAACAAAAACCTCTAGATCTCGATAGAGATCAAGAGGACGACATAGCGCAGGGCGCAACATACTATCTACTCCACACTGGACGTAGGGCGCCGTGATTTTCCGGCGTATCGAACCAGTATAAATCGTTGTCTCCCTGCGTTTACCACCGAGTTCCTACATACGCCAATACCCCTCCGAACAAATCACCGCCCCGAGTACCCCCGTGGTGGGTTGCCGGTGGTAAAACATCGACAATGTTCTCTAAATCTCTTCATGTTTGCCAATGTTCACCACGGTTTAGTGTTAAGCACTCTCCATGTTTCCAAATTTCTCCATGTTCTCCAAATCTCTCCATGTTCTCCAATTTCGCCATGGTATAGTGCTAAGCACTCTCCAAAGTTCGCCACGGTTAATTGCTAAGTATTCTATCCATTTTAAGTGCTCAGTACTCTCCAAATTTACTCCTATGTTCAGTGCTAAGCACGGAGATTTTGTTCTTTATACAAATATGAATAAACTCTAAATAAACATAAACTGCTCTGTAGGATATAAAATTCACCGATACATTGCTCCTGATAAACTCCGCTCTGTTTTCTTCATCACCGACTTCATATATTTTATTTTTAAATCACGTACTACCCGTCCTACATATTTATATTGCAGGATCATCGTCTAGGTGGTCGCATCATCTGGCCTTCGGATTTCTCCACCGATCAACTGGTCGGACCACTAGGTCATGACTTCGTCGCCAACCAGTTGGTCGGACTGTTCAGCATTCACTTCTACTCAGTGCTCACTTCACCGCCGACCAGTTGGTTGGGCTGCTCGATACTTGATTCTTCGCCAACCAATTAGTCGGATTGTCTGTCGTTTCATCGTCAGTTATGCTGGGGGCTCGCTAGCTAAGCTAGGGACTTTGTCTGTCAATTCGCTTGTTGGCTTACTACATTTTGCCGATGCTGCATGTCATGTGTGATATCAATGTTTTCCATGCTGTCCAGATCAGGGTGCTAATCTTGGGCGGCACGTCAGAGGTTTTGATAAGTATATCTATCACAGTAATCCAATGCTAAGCACCTTCCATTTTCTCCATGTTTTACCGCTCGGTATTATTGAATTTTTCTCCATGTACCTAGTATTAAGCACGGGGACTTCGTCCTTTACACTTTATTCTTTGATCCTGCTACAAGATGTTTTTTATCTTACAGCAGGCTCAGGGACTAAGTGTGTACACTTTACCTTGCGGTGAATGTACTATTTTTCTTCTTACTGGTTTTTAGCTAAGCTGGGGACTAGCTGTGCTCCCAGCTAAGCTGGGAGTTTGTTGTACTAACTAAGTGATTGTTGAAATTCTTTGATCCTGACACTAGGTGTTTTCTTCATTTACTGTCAGGCTCGGAGACTACAATGTATATATTGCACCTTATGGCGCATATATTAATACTAACATCCTCTTTGACTAAGTCATGGATGATGATCATATGACTTCGTCAATGAAGCCTAAGTGTGTACACTTCACCTAAGGTCTATGTCTCTAGCAAGCTCCGTCGTTGTTTTCTTCGTCGATCAACTGGTCGGACCGCTAGGTTCATGACCTTCGTCACCAACCAGCTGGTCAGACTGTTCGGCTCTCACTTCTACTTGGAGCTCACTTTGCCGCTGACTAGTTGGTTGGGCTACTCAGTGCTCGATTCTTCGCCAACCAACTGGTCGGATTGTTCGTCGCTTCACATCCAGCTAAGCTAGGGACTCCTCAGCGTTTGGATTGTTTGTCGCTTCATCGCCAGCTAAGCTGGGGACTCAGCGTTCAGATTCTTCTTGCAAGAGTTTCCAGCAAAGCTAGGGACTCCTCAGCGTTCGGATTCTTTATACAAGAGTCGCCAGCTAAGCTGGGGACTCCCTTGGTGATCAAATCTTGCTACGTCTTATCGGTGTGCTATCAACTTGCTTCATGCTGTTCAAACTAGGATGCTGATCTTGGGTAGCACGTCTAGGGTCTTGATACGCACATGACAGATGACGTTGGTAAGCTTTCTGGCTTATTTTTTTTGACCTTACTACAAGATTCATTCTTCATCTTCTAGTAGGTTCGGGGACTAAGTGGCTACACTTCATCTAGCGGTGAATGTAGTGGTCTTTTCTTAATTTACCCTCCTTATTGACTAAATCATGGATGATTTCTCACAAACAGAGTTCAAGTGGCTACACTTCATCTAAGATGAAGAATTTTTAATTTTTTACCTTGAGCCCCTTACATCCTTCGGGCAAGTCTTACTTAGCTAAGTCTAAGATCTGCGTACCAGTTAAACTGGTCGGCTTCCATTTTCACCGCTCAGGTCTCCAGTTAAACTGGTCGGCTTTAACTTTTACCGCTTGGATCACCAGTTAAACTGGTCGGTCTCAACTTTTACCACTTGAATAATCAGTTAAACTGATCGGCTTCATGTTAAACTGCTCGGACTTGCTCAAGACGGTGTTACTCAGCGGATACAAGGCGCTCGGGGACTAGCTGTAGGGGCTACAACCACAGATACCCACGGCAATGGACATGGGGCCGCAGCACCAGGGGTGGTCTAGCCCATAAGAAGAAGGCGTGTGATGCAAGACACTGATCGGCATGCATCACACGGTTTTAGGAAAGAATCTTGAAGATAGAGTAGGATTTGTTCGGATATGATAGATATTGTACTCCTTGTAAATACTTATCATATACCCGAATAGATCTAGATCTAACCGACATGTAACCCTACCTCCCAGACTATATAAGGCGGGCAGAGACCCCCCTCGAAATCATCTCATATTCAATACAATCCAACAAAGACATAGGACGTAGGGTATTACACCGATTAGACGACCCAAACCTATCTAAATCGCTGTCTCTGCGCCCTGTGTCGCCATACGATTCCAATTACGCGCACCTCCACCGATCATCTACTACCGTGGGTATACCCCTCGATAGACTGCCGACCAGATTTCGTCGACGTTCGCTCTTTTGAATGTGAAATGTACTCGCTTAGCTTCCACCTCTGGGGTAATGGTGGACCAAATTGGAGAAGAGAATTGGCTCTTGTCCAGAAGGAGGAAGAACTTTCCTAGACCATGGCGACGAAACGCCCCCCTATCTCCTCCAAAGCTCCATGTTTCAACGTCCTCCGGATTCATCTAGGACACCTTGAATTTTTGTGTGTTCAACGTCTGGGCATGAACAATACCCCTTTTGGTCATAAATTCTTTGTGGAGATTGTCAAAACTCTGCCCGTGCCGCCGATTTCAGGCGCTAACACAACTCCTCTGGGCAATGATCTATCTTTTCCCACTTGCTCTGCTTCTGGTCGCCGCTTAGTTTTCAGTCGTCTTCAACCACCAGCAGGCATGCAAATCCTTGGTGACCCGACAGCTCCATCTAGGAAGATTGCTTTGGGGATAGGTCCCCGACACCCTTCTGTCAACGCTGCCTTGCATGGGGTCATTTCAGAACTAATTGCAAATGACCAATGAAATGTCGAGCATGTCTTAATTGAGGACATGCATCAGTAAATCGATGCTCAGTAATTTATTTTGAACGGGGGCAAGTTTCTGACAACAGTAAAACTCAGGCGGCAAACCCCATCCCCTTTGGTTGGTTCAACCCAGCGGCCACCGGGTCGTCCGCCTCAAGTCCACCAGTCTTCAAGTCGTTTCGCGGAAAAGTTGCGGACCCTTTCCCTTTTTCTAATATGGGCCACCAAGGGAAGTGCGCCAGAGATTAATGCTGCTTAGCAGGGCAAGCCCAACACTGCTCATCTAAATACTGAGACATACTCCTTATGCCTTTCACTCGACCCTTCCCCCTCCTCCGTACCCTGGACAAACCCCACTTTAGAGCAATAGTGCACCTTGCCTGCCTCCCTCCAACAAACCTCGTCATCATCGACGATGGTGTTTCAACGTGTGGACCCACGCCTGTTCATCCTGGAGGGCTTCCAGTGGGATGATGTGCTAGACAGAGAATTCATGAGCCATGCAGTGGCGCCGATGAGACCACTAGCAACAAACGAAGACCTCACCATCGTCAGCTTCCATCCTCTGCTGGGTAATGAACTCCACTTTGCCACAGTCAGAAACATTGTCAGGGAGTTCCGTCAGGAGCGTAGGGTGCTCTTTCGTGCTATCATGCCATGCCATTTGGGTGAAGCATATGTTAGGTTCACCCATGCATATGATCGGGACAATATGGTTAGACAGGGTCCTATGCATTTTGGTAACATTCAGATATCCTTTGCCAAACACAACAAGGGTAGAAATTTAAGAAGAGTGTTGTTTAATGGTGATTGTTGGCTTATGATGGTTGGATTCCTAGAGGACTATAAATCTGAAAGGCATATACATAATGCTATTTATTGATTTTAGAAAGGTCATTATTTGGGAAGAAAGTGAGTTTTTTCCCTAGTAGAATCATGGTCAGGGCTAGAGTTACCAATGTGCATGCAGTACCTAAGTCATTTTGTATTTAGACTCCATATTTGAATGGAGAATCCTAGACTGTCCAATGTGAGGTGATGCAACACCATCAACTTGGAGGGGGTCCCCCACTTGAAGATCCAATTCCTGATGACTTGGAACTAGACAATGTGGTTCCTTTTGACTTTTTTGGACTTGGCCAACCAATAGCCCAATAAGAATCAAATGAGCAGCAAGAAGAACTACTGTAGCAAGGCCAGGATCTCAATGATCAGAATGGTCAAAACCAATTACAAGTGCAACAGTTGAACCCATGGGAACCATGGCTGGCTTGCCCTGCTGAAATCCCAGCCCAACAGATGGCCCAACAAATTCAAGATCTCAATGAGGAACCTATGAATGATGAGGCTATGGAAATTGATTTGAACTTACCAGTGCAACTTGATCCCTTGGAGGTTATCATCAACCCTGTTAACCCTCCAAAGGCAAATGAACCACTGGATGATCTCATTGAAGTGGTGGAGGAGAACATCCCACAGCAAGTCATACCAAATCCTATTGAAATCAACCCAGTGGAGGACAATATCATGATAATTGATGACAACATAGTAATGCCTGTGAGACTGCACGCCCTCTCTGATGTTCTTGGAGAAGAAATTCCTCTTGATTAGTTAATTGGGCATGAAGATGAAGAAAACCCAATTCTGCCTGATAATGAGATGGATCAGCCAGCATTAAACCCTGCTGAGGAAAATCTTTTACCTCCACCAGAAGTACAGCAGCAAGAACAGGTAGAGATACAACACAATCAGGCAGAGGCACAGCAAGAAAATCTAATGGGGGTGCAATAGGAACAGATGGGGACACAGCTGCAAGTTCAGAACAAGGGGGGCCTATGATGGGAGACATTCCTTTGAATCAACTGCTGCCAGTTGAAGTGCAAGCCATACCAGAAGATCTAAATCAGATTGATGCACATAAGGAAAAACTAGTAGCCCCAACACATCAGCTGCAAGTAGGACTTGTAAGGGTAATGGATACAGAAGGAGGCTCTGCTCCCTAGGACTAGGAAAGAACCAAAACCTCTGAGGCTACAAGATTGTGGGCTCATCATCTTGCATCAGGTGTCAACCCAGGTACCCCAATACAAATCCCAGCTTTATAGTCAAATGCCTTTATTGTCTTCTTGCTTTCACATAATATCTTTGAATGTGCAAAGGCTTTTGCTAAATCTAATGCAATATCCCTACAACAAACAAGAGATGGAACTATTGAGTTTTCCATCCCAAAAAGGTGTCCTTCAAGCAACTTGTGCTGCATCATGGCTAAAAGACAAAGCTCCTTGGTTCAGCTAGCACCTATAGAAATGGATAACTCCACAAATCCAAAGGAAAAGAAAATCAAAAGAAAGATGGAGAAAAAAGGGTCACCTCTGGTTGAAAATGAGGTAAGAAGAAGTCCTAGACTGAAAGAAATCTATAAAGGCTTCAAACAAAATGTCTGCTTCAATAAAAAGTGTCTTGTATGTGCCCCTAATCCTCCAACACTACCAGTCAAAATAAAAAAAACTAGCTGTTGATTTTTGCAAGGTGGATGAAGCATTGGTCTCTGAAGATGAGCTTAACAAAAAGCATACCAAGACAGAAAAAGTGATCTGTAAGAAGGAGGCTAGGGCTATGACTGAAGATGTGGGGATCCTAGGTTGCAGTGCACCGGACAAGATAAATGTTGATGATGAAACTGAAGTCTGAAGAACTGTCTGCTATAGTTTAGCTATGTAGTAGATGCAGTGACATGTTTTGTTGTGTAATACCTAGTGGTGGTGGTCTGTTGGGCTAGGGCCAGTCTTTAGCTGTCTGAACTACATGATCATTAAGTCGTTTAAATCTCCATGTTTAGAAAATTTAAGTGCTTGGAGCACTACTTTTGGTTGTAATATCCGTCAGATTCAGTTAATGGTAAACTATGGTTGCTATTAAATTTTTAGCACCTGGGGCATGTCTTCTGTTTGCAAGCATTGCCAGACAAAATTGTGTTGTTGCTTATCTAGTTTCCAATCAATACAACAATTGAGAGAACCTGGAAAATACTGTCATGGAATGTCAGAGGGGTTAACGCTGAAAGAGAACGGGACACAATCAGAGACAAAATCCTAAATTTTGCTTGTGATATAGTTTGTCTTTAAGAAACTAAGAATGAAACTTTTGACTCACAATTCTTAAAACGGATTTGCCCAACAAACTTTGATGAGTTTGAATTCCTCCCTTCTAATGGAAACTCTGGTGGACTTCTGGTCACATGGAAATCTAAATACTTCTCTGGTTCCCCCATCTTCAGTAATAATTTTGCTCTATCTGTTGAATTTATATCAAAACATAATGATGACTGCTGGATCCTTACAAATGTCTATGGCCCATGTAATAATGAAGGGAAAAGGGACTTCATATTTTGGCTAAAAAATATTGATATGCCAGAAGAAGTAAAATGGATGATCCTGGGAGATTTCAACCTAATCAGAGCTCAATAAAATAGAAACAAGCCCTGGGTAGCATAGAAGAAATGTTCATGTTCAATGATGCTATTAGTGCCCAAGGGTTAACAGAAATTCCATTGCAAGGAAAAAAATATGCATGGTCTAACATGCAAACTCCTCCCATGTTGGAAAAGTTAGACTGGGTGTTTACTTCCAACTCTTGGACTACCAGTTATCCTGAAACTACAGTAACTGGTCTGATAAGAGAACCTTCCGATCATTGTCCATGCCTGGTTTCTGTGCCAGCTGCTATTCCAAAAGGGAAAATGTTCAGATTTAAAATTTACCTTCTTGATTGTGAGGGCTTCAATGAAATTGTTTAAGACTGCTGGTCTAGGTATTATCCACGACAAGATACTACCAAACTCATCACTGTAAAATTAAAAAAATCTAAGAAGCAAAATCAGAGAGTGGTAGGCAAATCTCTCTAATTTGAAGACAAACATCACTAATGTAAAGCTATGTATTCAACTTCTAGAAACATTAGAAGAATATAGATATTTAAGCCTACATGAATGGAACTTTAGAGTGATCCTAAATGACAAATTGGTAGTGTTGCTTAAACATCAGAATACCTATTGGAGACAGAGAGGAACAATCAAATGGACAAAACTTGGGGATGCAAACACCAAGTTCTTTCATGCCAATGCTACAATCAAACATAGGAAAAATCGAATAAGCCATCTGACTACTAAAGATAATACAGTGGTCACAAGTCACAAAGACAAAGAATTAGTATTGTGGCAAGCTTTCAAAGAAAGGTTTGGAAACTCAGAATCAGTGGACTGTCAAACAAGACTGGAAGACTTTATCAACAGGGTTGATTTCCTAAATGATCTTGAATCTGACTTCACTCAACCTGAAATTGATGGAATCATTAAAAGTCTGGCAATTGATAAGTCACCAGGACCAGATGGGTTTAGTAATGAATTTCTCAAAAAAGGTGGCCAATAATCAGACAAGATTTTTATAAACTTTGTAATGAGTTTCAGCAAGGAACAATCTGTCTCAGAAGTATTAACAAGTCTTACATCACATTGATACCGAAAATTGATGGTGCCCAAAATCCTTCAGAGTTCAGACCCATCTCCCTTCTGAATTCATCAATCAAACTCATCATAAAACTCATGGACAATAGGGTACAGGCACATATTATATGGCTGGTCCATAACAACCAATATGGCTTCATCAAACAGAGAACAATTCAAGACTGTTTGGCTTGGTCATTTGAATACCTACACATGTGACATCACTCAAAGAAGGAAATAGTGATCCTAAAATTGGATTTTGAAAAAGCATTTGACAAAATAGAACATGAAGCTATCCTATCAATTTTGAAAGCTAGAGGGTTTGGTGTTCAATGGTTGACTTGGATAAAACAAATACTCACCTCTGGAACCTCTAAAGTGCTACTAAATGGTGTCCTAGGAAAAACAATACACTGCAAAAGAGGAGTTAGACAGGGTGACCCACTCTCACCTCTACTCTTTGTCTTCGCAGCAGATCTACTACAGTCAATGGTCAACAAAGCAAAAGATAGGGGACTTCTTCATCTTCCAATACCTCTAAACACCAATACAGACTTCCCAATACTGTAGTACGCTGATGATACCCTAATCATCCTTGAGGGAAAAGCAAACCAGTTGTTCTTCCTGAAAGCACTCCTTAACACTTTTTTTGCATTAACTAGTTTGAAGATTAACTACCAAAAATCAATGATGGTCCCTATTAACATCTTAGAGGAAAAACTAGATCATCTCACAAAAACTTTTGGCTGTGATAAAGGTTCCCTCCCTTTCACTTACTTGGGATTACCCCTGGGCATCACCAAACCCAAAGTGGATGCCTTTATACCTATGATAAGCATATGTGAGAAAAGGTTTGCAAGTGTCTCAGCTTATCTCTCTAAGGCTAGAAGGGTGGAATTAACGATTTCTGTTTTTTCCTCCCTACCAACCTTCTACATGGGCACCCTTGTCTTGCCTCCCATAGTAATTAAGCAGATAGACAAATTCAGAAAGCGGGGTCAGAAGCAAATGGAAGAAAGCCACCCAAAGCGTCCAGGGAAATGGTTAAGTTACCAAAAAAGAAGGAGGTTTGGGGGTTCTGGATTTAAAAAGCAGAATGAAGCCTTGCTAATGAAAAACTTGCACAAATTCTACAATAAGCAAGACATTCCTTGGGTGAAGTTAATATGGGAAAGGCATTATCCAAATGGCAAACTACCTGGTAACTTGATGAAAGGAAGCTTTTGGTGGAGGGGCAATCTGAAAATTCTAAGAGACTACAGAGAATTAACCACAGTTCAAACAAGAAGTTGACAGACCTGCCAATTATGGGAAGACAAATGGAGAGGCATACTGACGAGATTCTAACATATAGGTATGTTATGCCTCGGGTCCGATGGTTATCGAATGGAGAAGACCCCCCGATCGACCCCTTTAGGATCGCCCGGGGGCTCGAGGGCTATGCCCATCCGGCACGCTCGCGTGCACCCTCTGGCAAAGAGAACCGGCTGAGCCTGACTCGATCGTAGCTTTCGCCTGGGGCTCGGGGGCTTCCCCGAGCCTTGGGCTCCTGATCTATGGCACTTCTGGGCCTGGCCCTTGGCTCCTGCCCGGCTAACAATGCCAGCCAAGGCCCAGGCACAAGAAGACAAGCCCCATGCTACCGATGCCCAAGGGCTCCCTGGCATCGCTCCCTAGGCGTACCCCTGCCAATCGCTCCTCCGATAGGGTCACGTCCGGAGTGTGACGCAAGAAGACAAATCTTCCCGCGGCCTCTGGGGGCTCAGGGGCTTCTGGGCCCACGCGTTAGCCCCCGGAGTCAACCTCCTTCGCCACCAAGAAGACTCTAGAAGGTCTCACCCGGGGGAGGCCGGTCCAAGCCGACATCGTCTAACATGCAGAGTGTCAGAACAGAGCAGCTGGATGACGCCCAGGCTTCTTCGGCTCCAAGACATCTCGACGGTCCATGGCGCACCACTACAAGCCCCTCCTGGACTTCAGCGCACATAGACCCTCTCTGGAACATCCTGCAAAAGGAAAGCAACTGATCACCTTTGAAGTGGGCCTGTCGCACATTGGAGACTTTAGCTATGGAGGTCTTCGCCAAGTATCGGTGGTCGTCTTTTAAAACAATTAGTGCTTTGACAAGCGCTTGTTTGCTTGGTTTCGCTTTTTTGAGCTTTTCAAAATATAACCGGAGTTTGAAGTTGTAATAAGGATTGGTTGTGTACTAACTTCTTGCAGAGGCCGGAATACAAATTACTTTTTCTAGAAAAATAACGAAGTTCGGGCAAATAGACTACTTATCAGCCTAACTGAGTGGCTTTCACAAGCCAAACAGCAACCAACGGTAGTTTCAAAAGATTGCCGAGCACCATCATCAAAAGGCGGCCGTCTATCATAGGGGGTATAACATCTGGATCATTCTCCTCCTCCCACTTGGCTGTCCTCCTGGCCATTTGTCAGTAGAAGTTGATACTTCTTCAACGCCTTCTTGTCCAGCAGCTTCATGGCTATTTTCAGCCCTCTTTTAAAAAGGATTCAACGCGTTAATCGAATTAGACCAGGGGATACTGCAATGGGGTCACCATAGCGCAATGAGCTTCAGGAACAAGGATAGTGCTAGTTTCTGGTGTCGCTGAGGCCAGGCGGGCGGTGAACAAAGTCACACAAAAGGCAAAAATATATTTTCCTGGCGTTGACCTGGTTGATGTCTCCAGATAACTCCCCGAATTGATTTATTCAGGCCTTCAGGGACGAAAGATGTATTTTTTTTCTCTAGTGAAACACACTGGCTATTAAGATTTATGAAAACACCACAATAATACAATTTGATGACGTCGTCTACACAAATGAATGTAGCTAGTTGTGACAACCTTCGACTCCTTAAGTACGAGATTCAAACCCATACCCGGTACTCCGACGACACAAATGAATGTAGCTAGTTGTGATACACCCATTCCTAACACAGCTTGCTAGTGATAGTGGAAGCAAATAACCACAATCAACGTATTCACGGAAGAAAACATATGCATAACACATATATAGCGATATACTCCTTCCGTCCCAAAAAGAATGTCGCTAAGTTCGTGTTGGTCAAACTTTTTTAATTTTGAATGGATTTTTTTAGAAAATATTAGCAATATTTGTATCTCCAAATAAGTTTATTATAAAAATATATTCAACGATTCATCTAATGGTACTAATTATG